GCTGATTATCTGTTTGAGGTTTCTCATCTTGCTTTGTTTCCATCCTCCAGTATAAACTTGTTCCGAGCAAAGAGAGAGCTGAGTCAGCTCAACCAGCAGACTTCCCCCCTCCTTAAGGTGCAGTGCCTGCGCAGGGTCGTCCTCGCTGCCACCCAGACACCCAGACGCACAAGTAAGTACGGGGTGTTCATCAGAGTTGTTTGGTGTTAGTCTCTAGAAGGAAGAAAGATTGTACTGGAACAGCCTAGATCTACTCCTTCTAGATCTTGGGGCATCTGTTACCTTTAAGGATTTTGTTTATTCTGAAATGAATCCATTCATTGCTTCATAAAATCCGTTCAGAGGCCTCTGAGCTGTTGTTTTCTCATGACTTTTAGAGGAACTTTTGATCCAAAACAGACCAAATCAGATTTCTAAATCTTAATCTAATTCATGGTGGCTTAAACTAATCATGTTTTTGGGGCTTTGGTCTATTGAAAGCTTATTATTGAAATGAAACTGCATCTATTAGCTGTGTAATGAGGAGTGATGAGCTGCTGAAAGACACTGTGCTGTTCTTTGGTAATTCGTCTGTAACCTTTCAGAGTGACGTCGTAATGGGATCCTCGCTGTCGCCTGATTGTTTGTTTTCTGAAAGCCAGACTCTGATCACAGCAGCCTCACTGTTAGCGTGCAGAATAACATGATCTTATCCTAATTCCTGTTTGTCAAGAGGCCACTTTAGACATTGGTTGTGAGGAGCAGCAGGGAGAGGAGCCGACTTCCATTCAGAAAGGAGGTGGATTTGTTGATTGGTGTTTGTCTTCCTCTGCAGCCAATATCGAAGCTGTGAGCGCAGATGACCTGCTCCCTGTCGTCCTTTACCTCCTCATCAAGAGCCAGATCCCCAACTGGTGAGCATGGAGAAGATCGTTCAGGTTGCCATGACAACATGGCATCCAAATGTCATGTTGTCGAGGTGTGCAGGCTCGCTGGCAGCCATCAGCCTGCATGCTGCTGTGCACCAGAAGGTTAAAGGTCACCCTGAGAGCCGTACGATGTGGTTAGAAGTTTTTTCATGATGATGCGTTTTTTACAGGATTTTTCAATGTTTTTTTAAGCCCAAAGGAACTGGCTGTTTCTCAATGAGAAACAAATATTACTTCACATCTTGTGAAGTAATACTTTGGTATTTGTTCCAGTAATAAGGAAGTATTATGTATTTTAGATCACCAGCATCAAATTATATTTTATTATTATTCTTTCTGGAACAGGTTGTGATACGATGACTTCATGCACGCAATTTTTCCAAACTATTCTTGTAAATTTACGACTTTATTCTCATAATGTTATGACTTCATTCTTGTATTTGAGAAATAAAGAAATCTCTAGCCTTGTCCTAACACTCAGTGGTAGGCACCATCCTCCGGTTGTTCCCTTGCTGGGTTTTATCTTACAGCAGAGACAACCAGGTGATGCGTCTGCAGACTGAGGGGGTCCCAGGAGCTCAGTGGGCTTTCATTAGTGTTGGGAGTTCTAGCCAGACTGT